CTACATTCCAAAGCTTTGCTGACGTTAAACATCGATTCCCTTCCCGACTTTTTTACGCAAATATACTAAAAGATATTAATGACTAAAATAACACTCATCGATAATTAATTCTCAATCTAACACTCATTTCTATTACGTAATAAGAAAATACATTTTGTGGAAGACGCTTTACTGAAATGATATCCTTGTCAGCAAATATACTTTCTACATAATATTAAAGAAGTTATTTGTTATGATAAAGATTGAATCTTGTATCAACCATCGGTTCTCAAGTTATTTGATCATAATCAACAAATATTAAATATGGTAGTAAGATAATTATATTTTTAGGTAAAAATTAAGTTCAAATTCTGAAGGTTATATTATTAGAAGAAATAATTATAAAACGGACGAGATAGAAAAAACAAAACATTGAAATACTGATATTATTTCATTTTATCTTTGGATCTATACGTATTGGTGTATAGGTTTAGTATAGATACGAGATAGGTAACACCAGCAAATGACAAAACACAGTTTGGAAGAGCAACCATCATTCGAATAAATTGGAAAACATGTTGGCCCATTTGGCTAATACTGTTTTCCAACTTAAAACAAAGTTTACACTTTGTACCGACCACAAAGTAGGCCGAACTTGGGAAACATACGAACCCATACTTTGGTCCAATCATTAACAAATTAGAAAATTTTAATACAATCACATATTAAATAATTTAGAATTTAGACTTTTATCCTATGTTCCGATAGGAAATTTTACGACAGATTCAATGTCAAATTTTACTACTACGTTTCATTGTGCTTTCCAGACGACCTATTCTTATGATAATTTGATTTCAGTTCGTTCCTTTCATTATATATGCAAAAAAGAGTGGATGCAATAGTTATTTGTGAAATTACTAAATGTAATTTGATTCAATTAGTTAAAAAATTATGCATGAGCCTTTAACATATTTAAATTTATATCATTATTAAATAATTTGTGGATGTATTCGTTAATTCATAAAAGAATAATTTTTTCTATCTTTATTTTATAAGAAAAACAATTGATATCTTATACATTCAAAGAAAATGGTAAATAACTTTTATTTTAAATAAATATGTTTTTAAATCGAGTTAAAGTCATAACATATGATAAAAAAAATAAAAATATGAGTTTAAACTTAATTTCACAAATCGTGATTCAAGTTTAATTTTTTTTTTATTTTAAATAACTTGAAACATGGAATATTGAGCTTAACCAAGAAAATAAGAGTAAATATAAATAAATTTACCCCAAAACTTACGAGCACAAATACTTGAATTATTCCAAGTTTTGTGATCAAAATTTGACGTATGTGGAAGCAATTACGTGAGACAAAAAAGAGTGCGTGGGAATGAGAAGTCATTGTAAGGAGCAAACGCACAACACATTGGGTAAAGAGAGTGAAACGGACAGATGGTAAAGGGTACGACGAATCCGGGCGCTTTCATAACGGCAACCAAACAATTCATATCTATTCAGACAATTTTACTTTTTACAACATAATGCTTTCAATCTATTTTTTAAAATAAAAAATTAATTTCAAAAATAAATACATAAATAATAAAGGTAAAAAGCAAAAAGTTGTTCTTCTGTCATGTGTTGTCTTTGTCGAGCACTGGTTATTCAGTTGAATCAAACACAAAGGTTACCGGCATGACTCTCGAGGGCCTTTCATCTTTTACCTCTTTTTTTCTTTCTTTATTTTCTAAATTTATGCTTCCTACCTATTCTAGGTTTAATTATACTTTTTTTTAAATAATTTCGAGTTATTATAAGATAATAAATATTTATTTTTTTAATCATTGGCGCGTACATACACTCCACATATGTATATGTTTAAACTCAAGTTCTCTTAAAAAAAATACTTCCTTCAATTATTAAAATCACTTGATGAATTCAATTTAATTATGGTTTTAGTTCTCTTTGCTACATTAAAATTGAATACTTGTATAAGACTATTTCAGTATGACTATTTCATACTCATTTTGAATAAATCTTTTTATATATCATCTGTCTGATAATCGATTATAGATTTTTTTTAACATATCTAATAATATAACATTACCCAGATAAATATCATATGAATTTTAAAATATAATCTTCAAGTACCACCAAGTTGATGGTTAGTTCGGGTGATAAAATTTCAAAACTAAAACAATATATAAGCACTATAAAACATTATTAACCATAAAAAAAATATAGTCTACTATCTAACACTTCAAAAAAATTTATCTAAAATGTAAAAATATCCTCTTAATCTCTCTACTATATGACATAATTTGATCTCAAATATAAGTAACATTATATAAGTAACATGCTTTTTTTTAAAAGCCTAACAATTCGATTGACATAAAGTTTCACTCAATTGATTAGTTTTTCCCTTGATCTTTATTATATAATCGAAATTATAGTAAAAACGTCGTTACTTTAACAATCAAAAGTTAACTTTATTATCAAATTAGACTTACTAATAACATAATAAAAGTATAATAATTAAATTATGTCAAACTAAAACATAGAATTACTTTTCAAATTTTAATATAGTATAAAGATTAAAACTAAAATCAAACTCACAATTTAATAAGTAGTTTTTTAATAGTTTAAGATAATATTTATTTATATTCTTTATTCATCATTGATAATATATAATTATGAAAACCTAATTATTTAAAAATAAAATTTTAAGAGAAAATAATATCAGGTTTAACCATTTAAGTTAATCAATAGGTTGAGTAATTTTTTTTATATAAAAAAGTGTTCTAATGGGAGAGTGAATGAAAAGGACAAGGGTGGGCTTAAGAAAGTGGACGGAGGAGTTATCCCTTTCATATGTTTAAGCTTAGAAATGTAGGTGTGATATGACATCTCAATAACCCTTTCCCTTTATCAAATGAAAAGCCTTCTCCTTCACATGCACGTGCATTCCCCACACGTGCTTTCTAGGGCCGTGGAACCACATTCTTCCCTTTTTTTTAAACCAAAAATACAGTAATAATAATAAAAGAGTAAATTATATGTTTAGAGAGTTTAGACATATATCTATTATTGTGATTTTATTTTAGTAATTTAACTATTTTTTAAAAACTATTTCTAATGTTACGATTTAGCCATTCTCCATTAAAAATAAACATAATTATTGATATAGTATTTTTTTTAATTTTTCTAATGATGATGTGGTATTATCTTATTGTGATGCGTCAACTATTATATTTAATTTTAACAATGTATGATTAAAATAAAATCAAAATGTAACATTAAATATAAATTAAGAAAAACAATTAAGCAATCAAAATATAACCATGTGAATAGATGACGACCAAATACATACTTTAACCTAATAAAAGTGACTTAGAAAATGACTTAATTTTATGACCAAACAAAACAAAAATTGACTTCGCATATCTATATACTTTGATCATATTTTGAAACCATAACAAGTCAGATATCAAAACTATTCATTATTCACACTTTAATACTGAATTTGTTTTATGCCATACAATTTTATTTTTAAACGTTCTTATAAATAATTTGAGGTGATTAAAAGACATTGTTCATAATATTTCTTAATTGATAACACATACACTATAGATATAATTACTCGAACCTAGAATCTCAAGAGATAACTCTAATCACATAGTTCACTCAATGAATTTATCTATTTTTTTATAAAAAAAATATAGTAACACTTAAAATTATATTATATTATAAATATTTTGTAAATGATAACGTTTTTTAATTATAAAAAATAATTTCGATTTTATGAATTTTAAGAAGAGTTTTTATACAAGAAAATCCAATGAAAATATTGTTCATGAGATGATGGTGATAATTTGGGAGTAAAAATCAGGTTAATAAGTAGTCGGTGCTAGAACATTCTAGAACTTGCTAAGATCTGAATTTGTACAAGTATATTTTTTTTCTAAGTTGGCCATTATAAACTATATTATATTTCACTTTCATCCTCCGCATACTAGTCGTTAATTGGTTTAAAGTGTCACGCCATTTTTTTAATAACGTTAAATATAATAACTTAAAATTATTGATGGAACGCAACTTTAAGATCACACCTGACAAAAAAAACTTTAAGGGCCAAAATGAGAAATTGGTTATAGTTTTGGGGGCCAAAATTTAGATTAAGCATTGTTAAAGTACTTATGGGTTCAAATTAGAAGACTTACTATACTTTAAGGGCTGTTTGTGCCATTATCCTAACAATTTGTGGTAGATAGTTTGTGGCCTAAAATAGTAAATAAAGTGGGAATGGAGGGTTAATTTGGGTAAGGAATGTATATGGTGGGGCTGTGAAGCAGCGCCAAAGGCGCAGGCCATCCGATGGAATCACAGCTATCGTTCTCCCTTACTCGCCTCTTCCCCGCGTCCTATCATTATTTTTATCTAAAATTTAAAAATGACATACCATCATTAATCTTAAAGAGTGAGCAAGTAAATAAGAAAAATTGAAAATTAAAAGGCAAAAGTTAAAAAAAAAAGATAAAGGAAAAAGAAGAGAGACAAGAGAGGAGGGTGATGTGGTGTCATAGCTTTGTCCCCCCCACCCAACACATTTCCTCTCACTTTCTCTTCAAAGTCCGAAAGCCACCACACATCAAAGCATTGGATTTTCTTTGCCTTTTGTTTTTCCTCTACTCCTTCCTTTAACCATTTGTTTATGTCTGCTGCTCCCTCTTCTCAGTACCTGCAAATGGGGGAGGAATCATACTTCGAATTCCTTGTTATTATTTGACCACCCTTTTCCCTTCTTTCATTCAACATGCCTTTCTTCTTCTTCTTTTGTTGAGAAAGCAATTTTATTGGCACTAATTTCACTTAAATTTCCATTTTCTCTAGTTTTTAGCTTTCTGAGAATACCCCTTTCTTTGATTACTCTCCTTTGGTGTTTTGTTTGATTATGTGGGTGCTTACAGTGAGGTGAAAAGCTTTTGTTTTTAAGAAAAAAAGAAAAGAACTCGGGGTGTTCATGGAAATTGATCTGAACCATGCAGTGAATGAGGTGGAGAGGACGACTGCAGTTTGCGATTGGGAGGGTGACAAACTGAACTGTTTGTCCTTTTCATCATCTTTTTCATGTTCTTCAAACTTAGCATCACCACCATGTCCATCCTCTTCCATTTACTTGGAGCTTTGGCATGCTTGTGCCGGCCCCCTCACTTCACTCCCCAAAATGAGAAATCTTGTTGTTTACTTCCCTCAAGGTCACTTGGAACAAGTGGCTACTGTGTCTCCTTTCTCTCCTTTGGAAATGTGCACCTTTGATCTCCCCCCTCAAATCTTCTGCAAAGTGGTGAACGTCCAGCTTCTTGTAAGCACTCTCAAATCTTCTTCTTGTGCATTAAATTGTCTTTGCAGTAGCCATTAGCTCCCCCCACACCCCCACAAATAAAGTTTATATAGCTTTATCCTTTTCTGAAAAAAAAACTGGCTGCCTAAATTGAAGTTTCCTTTTTCCCCCAGGCCAATAAGGAGAATGATGAGGTCTATACACAAGTCACTTTACTTCCTCAACCGGAGGTATGTGTAATTCTTATTTTGGTTTACAATTTTTGAATGTTGCATGATTCTAAGTGAAATTGTGAGTTTTTTTCTCGTCCCTGCTATTACTTTTCATACGGAGGTTTACTATCCTTGTTAGGGTTCTGGTGACTTGAATGAATTATCTGCATCTGCATACACTTCCATTGTAAGAGGCAGTCCAAATTCCATTGTTTTTGGTGATATAATTTGGAATTTTTGTGCAGTTGGGAGGAGGGCCTAATTTGGAGAGCAAGCAGCTGGATGAACTAGCTGCGGATGAAGGAGATGATGGATCTCCTAAAAAATCAACCCCTCACATGTTCTGCAAGACGCTAACCGCGTCGGACACCAGCACTCACGGAGGGTTCTCCGTTCCTCGTAGAGCTGCAGAAGACTGCTTTCCGCTGCTGGTATGATTTCATGTTCTTAATACTTATGTAACATTTACCTGGCTGCCTATTGGTCCTAGAAATTTCTTCCATATGCAACGGTGTTTGCCTTGATTTCAGGATTATAAACAGACGAGGCCGTCACAAGAACTTGTTGCCAAGGACCTGCATGGAATTGAGTGGAGGTTTCGACATATATATAGGGGTAATTAATGTAGCGGATTCAATATTTTGGATAGTAGTGTTTAGAGTGTATTTTCAATTGAAAGAAACATCGGTATAGCTTGATGTTTATTAATATTTAGGTCAACCGAGGCGACATCTCCTTACTACAGGCTGGAGTATTTTCGTGAGTCAGAAGAATCTTGTTGCTGGGGATGCAGTGCTCTTTCTGAGGTATGTACTTCTGAAAGTGGCTAGTCGATTCGTTATGTTTTTGCTGAGCAGATTGCTCAATTCCTCATTGATACTTTGGAATTGGTCAAAAGAGGAAACTTTATAAAAGAATAATAGAATCATCATTCTAATAGGACTGCCATGATAACATGAAAAGCTTTTATACAACTTGAGAATCATAAATCTCTACCGACCTGTGAAAATATAATGGAAGTTTTTAGAGTTCCGAGGCTGCCTTGTGTTCCCATGGCCTTGTTTGAAGTTCTCTTTCTTTATCTTTTCTTCAACATCATAGGGGTGAAGACGGCGAGCTTAGGTTGGGAATTAGGAGAGTTGTACGACCAAGAAATTGCCTCCCTGAATCAGTTATCATGAAACAGAATTCGTATCCAAATGTTCTTTCTCTGGTGGCGAATGCATTATCCACTAAAAGCATGTTTCATGTCTTCTACAGCCCAAGGTAAGTTTCTTTCAGCTTGCTTCAGTAAAACGAATGGTATTCGAAAAAGAAAATAAAAGAAAAAAGGAAGAATTTGGGATGTGATTTAAATAAAAATGCAAGATTTTATAAATGCCTCTTAAACCTATTTTAAATGCCTACCGAATGATTCTGAAAGTTTGATTTTCACTTTTTCATTCGGGATGTGATTTGGTTATTGTGGAATGGAATGGTAAGCCAGTTCATGTTGCTGTAATGCAGGGCCAGTCATGCAGAGTTTGTTGTACCCTTTCAGAAGTATATCAAAAGCATAACAAATTCAGTGTGCATTGGAACAAGATTCAAAATGATTTTTGAAATCGATGATTCACCCGAGAGAAGGTACCGTTTAGTTAATAGCAGATTATGACTAATATTAATTTCTTCCTTTGGTTTTACCTGTTTATAGTTTTTATTTCAAGATTATTATAATGGTACTACTTTCATGCAGGTTTAGTGGTGTAGTGACAGGAATGGGGGACTTGGATCCTTACAAATGGCCCAATTCAAAGTGGAGATGCTTATCGGTGAGATCCGAATCTTAGTTTATGTATTCAAGCTTTTATGCATGTATTCTTTGTTGCAACTCTCGGGCAAGTGCATACACATGGTCTTTATCAAAATACAATACGTTTGTACAATGTACATATATATATATATACACATACTTCATGCTGTAAATTGATGAAGGCTGATAAACTGTTCTTCGAATGGAAAATAATCGATTGAACAAAACTTGGAAAATGCCTTAATTCAAAGCTATTAAGTGAATCTTGTTCTACTCACTTTATTATAAGGCTCTTGTTATGACATTTAACAGGTTCGGTGGGATGAAGAGACTGTGATCGATCGCCAGAGAGTCTCACCTTGGGAAATCGATCCTTCTGTTTCTCTCCCACCTTTGGGTATTCAATCTTCACCAAGGTTGAAGAAAATGCGAACATGTCCGCAGGCTGTTGCTCCTGACACCCCCATCAGAGGTAAAAATCTGTGTAAGGTGGTAATATTGTTGCAAATTTATACTTGATTAATGTATGCTCTTTTCTTCAGGGGGGAATAGATTTTTGGACTTTGAGGAATCTTTAAGATCCTCTAAGGTCTTGCAAGGTCAAGAAAATGTAGGTTTCGTATCATCCTTACATGGACATGATACTGTAAACCTTCAGCTAGATTTTGAGATGCAATCTCCTGTCGGTCATCAAAGTCTGGCATCAACAGGGATCGAAAAGTGTAATATTAGCGATTATATGAGGGTTCGCCCCACTGCTTATGCAGGCTTTGCGGAATCTAATAGGTTTCCGAAGGTCTTGCAAGGTCAAGAAATTTGCCCGTTAAGATCCCTGACACAAAAGGCCGATCTCAACCTTGGTGTTTGGGCGGAAACCAATCTCGGTTGCAATTCTTACAACATGCATCAATCACAGAAAACCAATTGCTATCCACTAGCATCGGAAGGCCTACGAAGTATGTATTTTCCTTATAGTGAATTTTACAAAACCGGCCAGGAACCGACAGTGAGCTCTTATCCATCTCCAATTCTGAGAGGTAATGTCCCATTCAATGCCTCGATCAAGACAGGGGTAGGGGTTCTCGTGGACGGGGTCAGGAAACCAAACCCGCTGGATGGGCATAAGCTGTTGGAGAATATTCCGAGTCCTGCTCCCGAAAACAATTCAAGGAACCAACAGGAGGACTCCTCGAAAAGAAATGTTGCTGGATGTAAACTCTTTGGGTTCTCCTTGAATGTTGAGTCGCCTACTCCGAGCTCCCAAAATTCTGGTAAGAGGAGTTGTACAAAGGTAAGTTTATATTCAGGTCGTAGTTGAATTAACTTTACTTCCTGTTCCTCTCCAACTAAATTCCATTCCACTTGTTGAAAGGTTCACAAGCAAGGCAGCTTGGTTGGAAGAGCTATTGATCTCTCGAAATTGTACGGATATGATGACTTGATGACTGAACTCGAACGTCTATTCAGTATGGAAGGCTTTTTAAGTGATCCAGATAAAGGATGGCGGGTTTTGTACACCGATAGTGAGAATGATGTAATGGTGGTTGGAGATGACCCTTGGCAGTAAGTGTCACTTGTTCTCCACTATCCTTGCACGATAGCGATTATTAATCTCTTTCCACTATTTTCGTTTTTGCTTTCTAGTTTCTTTCCGGGTCGTGCAAGCAACTCGCCTATGATTGAGTGTTTTGGTTCTCTTGTTTTCCCCTTTTATTTTTCAGTGAATTCTGTGATGTGGTGTCAAAGATCCATATCTATACCCAAGAAGAAGTGGAGAAGATGACAATAGGAATGGGGAGCGACGATACACAAAGCTGTTTGGAACAAGCACCAGTGATAATGGAAGCATCGAAGTCTTCCTCGGTGGGGCAGCCGGATTCCTACTCTCCAACAGTAACAAGGGTGTGAAGATTGTTGTTTGTTTTAATGTTGTTGTAATCGTCACCGTCGTGATCGATGTGTTTGCTATGTCTGCTACAAGTTGTTAAATTCTCTGACGAAGATTTCTATCTACCAAGTACTTGTCATTTGTCAATTCTGGAACATATAGCTAAATGTGGGGTTTGTGGCATGATTATTATGGTATTTGGACAAAGGAAGTGGATTGAAGGTGATTCAAGCTTTTGGTGTTTTGCAAATGGTACATGCATTTTGTGTTAATGGGGTCATTTCTAAATCCAGATAAATGTTGAACTGACTCACTTTCATATCAAAATTTTAAGTGATTTTCAATCGGAATGAATTGCGAGGTTAGTTCTGATGAATTTTAACTTAAAATGTTATCATATTTAACTTAAAATATTATCATATTTGTAACATTTTCAATTATAATAAAACAAGGAATATAGCCTGAGTTTAGGGTTCGTAATTGAAAAGGTTATAAAAGTTATAATAATTTTAGTTACAATAAAAAATATTATGAAGAATATATTCGGTTCCTACTTAAAATGTTATCACGTCTAACCTAAAATGTTACGCTTTTTATAAGATTTTTAGTTATAACTAATTTATGTTGTTTGTTAGTCTTATATTAACAAGTTGTATTTTAAACTAGTCCGAATTACGAAAATGGATTGTTTACAAAACTATATCCTGTTTCTGAGAAACAGATGAATTATTTCAAATAACTGTTATGTATGGTGTCTACGGACTACAAGCATGTAAAACTTTAGTTTTGTAAACAACATTGTCCAAACCTCTCTCACTGTTCCTTAAAAAGTTCACGACCAATAACCCATTCTTCTGATCTCACTAGTCCCTGCTCCGATTTTGTAGAGCTTGGCATCTCGAAGCAGACGGCCGGTTGTGTATTCGTTAAAGTATCCGTTACCTCCTAAACATTGTATATCCTGCAAAAACCCAAACCCAAACTCAAATACAGATTATTTACATTCATCACAAGTTACAGAATATACTTAAATGATATCCATGTGTGAATGAAACACAAATCTTTCACCTGCAGAGCAACTTGAGTGGCTCGTTCGGCAGCAGAAAGTATAACTCCAGCACAGTCCTGAACTGTTGCATCCACAAAAGTTACATATTCATGTTCATGTAAACATGTATTTAGAAAGAAGAAAAAAAGACATGCCATATGAAAGTCATCGAGAATTCATAGTAACTGTGCCTATATGAAAGAGCGAGGGAACCATAGCTGTCACACCCTTTTTCCCCAACCAATATATATATACAAGTAACTTGCTATATTGCATATAATGATGATACTGACCAGGTTGGGAAATGTTCATACAAGAATAAGCAAAACTTCTGTTTTTTTATGAAAAAAGAACTAAAAAAATATCAAGAAATCTTTTCATATCAGGAACAGAAGGGAAAATAAAGGAACCTTCGGGCCAATTCTCCGGTTGTCGCAGTCCCTTGCAACGGAATAGACATAGGACCTTAAAAATGAATGTTGTCAACTTCTGCCACACGAGAGTCAAATTCAGAAAGACTAAAAATTTTATATCATGAACTATACCGTGATGATTGCAGAGAAGTATACATGTCTGCAACTTTTCCCTGTAATTGCAATAAGAATTTAATCCAAGTTTCTAAGACAAGAATCCACAAGACATTATCAGGATAGCTTCTATTACAAACCTGTATAAACTGAAATTCCCCAATCGGACAGCCAAACTGCAACCTCTCTCGTATGTAAGGAAGGACAACATCAAGAAATGCCTGCACAGACAGGCCTCGCAGACAAAACAAGTCTCTCCAAATCTAGTCCTGACATTAGTATATAAACCCCTGAAACAAGCAAAAAACCTTCAATTAGAATATAGTACAAGAAAACACACTATTTCCTCACAACTGTAGCAGAAACATGAGCAACAACTTTACTAGTACTGGCATAATTAAGAATACAAACTAAGACTCGCATTTTTTTAATAAATATTGTTAGATTCTAAAGCAGGTTTTCTTCGATTAGGCAGGCAGCATATTGTCACCATCATAAACTATCTACTATTGATCAATATTTCCTTCCTATTCCCTGAAGAAGAGGGAAAAACTTTCAGAGATGCAAAACCTTTTCCTTCTTTGCCAAGAACATTTTCTTCTGGAACAAAGCAATTCTCAAAGACAAGCTCACATCTGCTCAGACCATCACCATTGTTAATATGAAAGATAGGGGCAGAATTGGATTTCAAAATATACGACTTCATTTACAGCAATGCAAACATACGTATCACTTCCTCGCATCCCAAGTTTGTCCAATTTCTGAGCAGTGGAGTATCTGCATAGTGAAAAAATCAAAAGATTAATGAATATATTCAGTATCTCATTTTGCTATCAAATTACAGTTCTATATATAGGTCTTATTTTACCTTAAAGAAGACACTCAAGAAAAGGTATATCTAAAAAAATACGGGCCGAGTGCAAGAGAAAGCTTTTATATACTTAAAGTTCATTAATACCAGCAAGCTATTGACCATTTAGAAAGGGGTAACATAGGTCCTTATGTCTAGATCCTAGAAATATTTCTCTGAGAAAAAAAAGTTTCATTGGGATTCAGGCACCACAAAAGGTGTAGTGCCTTGGATAATACATGTTATCATAATCAAAATTGTTTATTTCTATCATACAGGACCCTAGTAAAGAGTTCATGTCTTCGACTATCACCTGATATCTTTTATAAGCTTACAACAACTTTCCCACTTTTTGGAATATAAATAATTAGATATATGTGATGCCATACCCAGGCATTCCCTTCTCAATAATAAATGCTGTGATTCCTTTTGAGCCAGGCTTGACATCTGTCTTTGCATGAACAACCTAAAAGAGTCGATGAATAAGTACAAACCAATAAATTATTGCAGAAGAAAAGTTTTATAGTGAAGCAGAGAGGACGACTTGATTCATATTGGGCATGGCTTTTACGACCAGATACTCTGGAAAAGAAATTTTCCACCGAAGGACTGTGTAGAAACTGTTTTCTACTCGATCAACTGGTTTATCTGCTAAATGATACTGCACGCAGCTTAAAGCAAGCAGAAAGCGCTTGCTTCACAGGTAACCACATATAAGTAAAGTGACATTTTACAAAAACATTATACCATAAAACCTTCTCCTCAATATATCATGAAAAAATTAGTTTGAAGAAATTCAAACAACAATCATGTTTGGTGCTTTAGCTTTTGCTCGAATCCTACAGCGGTGGACTTGAAACCTCTCCAAATGTTTGAAAGTTTAACAGAAAGAAAATAAATTCTTAGCTTTAGCACAATGGTATATTTGGTGCTTGGAAGAAACAAGAACAGACAGACAAAACATTCATTGACAGAACACTTTCTACTACAAAGTCAACTTCGGCAGCCTATGTTGCATCTATGGAATACGATTACAGCCTTTTAATTTAGCTTCAAGGAAGATAAAAATAAAACAGATATAGACACATTTCTTAAGGAATATATACCCAGCAAAAATGATAAGTAAAGCTAAGAAACAGAAAGTTAACCATAGCCATGCCTAACAGTGTAAAGGCATTCTCAATAGGTATACCAATGTTTGGGCAACTGGACCATTAGTGCACATCTTGTTTCCATTGAGAAGATAACCCCCATCAACCCGATCAGCTTTGCACTTCATGCTAACAACATCTGATCCAGCTGCAGAGACTGCAAAGACAGATTAGCCAGTACAAATAATTAAAAATTGTTCAGCCCGAGGAATGCTAATAAATGTAAGACATAAGCTAAGAAAAAGTTTAAGTTACCATTGGGTTCACTCATAGCAAGGGCTCCTAAATGCTCTCCACTGATGAGCTACAAAAAGTGAGATACTGGTTATCTCATTAGCAAAATAGAATCCAAAAGAACAAATAACACAAGTTGGCCGAGTGCCAATGTTTTTATTTATTTATTTATTTATTTTTTGGGTTTGGGGGGGAGGAACAAACTAACAGCCACCAAGTATAATACATTAGGAACAGACCCTAATTAAACTTCAGCTTCACAACAGACCCTAATTAACAGTACTGGTTATTCTTTACCCTCTCTCACTTTAAGAAAAAGAAAAGGTTTAACTTTCTTTTATATGTTTTGGTTTCTATTTTCTAGTTGTAATATTGTTCTTATATAAATATTGGCTTTTTCTCCCTTTGATTCGATCTTTAGCTTTATTCTATCTAATGGTTTGTCTCAAATCCCAGTCTTTAATCGAAATCTGCCAAACTTTTGTTTGTTAGTTCACTCATTTCGTCGAACAGTTGCCTTGCACTCTCATGAAACTTCAAATTTCCCTTTTTGTTGCTTTTGGAAATCAGCAAACAAATAATATTTTTGAAGATTTAAACATTATTATTATTTTTAGGGTAAAGTATAGTAATGGTCACTGAACTTTTCTAAAGATTTCGTTTAGGTCCCCTAACTTTTAAAACTTGCAATAAAGTCCCCCAACATTTCGTCCGTTTGTAATATGGTCCCCCAACAGTTATGTCGGGGACCATATTGTAAACGGACTAAATTTTGAGGGACCATATTGCAAATGGACTAAATGTTGGGGGATTATATTGTAAATTTTAAAAGTTGGAGGACCTAAATAAAATCTTAAAAAGTTTAGTGACCATTACTATACTTTACCCTTATAATTATTATTACTGTAATACAATTTAGTCTTAACTTTTCCCATTGCATCGCTGCTCTTTACCTTGTTCGATACAATCAGGGCACCCTATTTTAGTTCCTATCTCCAAACATCGTCTATGAATTAAGTTGCCCTATTATTCCTACTCTTCGTTTTCTTCTAATTATATGCATTTAATATTTTTATGCGTAGAGTTAGGGATGAGCTTTGGTCGGGTTGGGTCGGGTTTTTGGTCCACCTGGCCTGACCTGACCCGAGAACAAGGAGTCCTCCACCCGAGACTTGACTCAACCAAACCAAAACAAGTTTTCACTCGACCCGAATCCGATCTGATATATAACTTAAAAACCCAACCCGATCCGAAATAATAAAAAATATTTTATTCAATAAAAACAACGACTTAATTGAAAAAATAATATATAGAGGGATATTATTATAATTATTCATAAATATATAAGGTAAAATTATATATTTTTTGGATCGGGTCGGGTTGGTATTTTTCACACTAAACCCGAACATCACATTAAAAAAACCCGACTTGACCCGACTCAAACTCGATTTTTTTTAAAAATTCGACCCAATCGATTGGGTCGGTCGGAACACGTCGAGTTCGGATCCCATGCCATCCCTGCATAGAGTACGTGACAGCTCTCTAAATACATGTATTTTTTTATAAAAAATAAGTAATATTCGACACATATTCAAATATAATAATAAATAAAAGGGTAAAGTATAGTAATGGTCACTGAATTTTTCTAAAGCTTTCATTTAGGTCTCCCACTTTTAAAATTTGCAATATAATCCCCAACATTTAGTCATTTGTAATATGGTCCCTCAACATTTAGTCCGTTTGCAATATGATCCCCAACATAACTGTTGGGAGACCATATTACAAATAGACTAAATATTAGGGACTGTATTGGGACCTAAATGAAAGTTTTAGAAAAGTTTAGTGACCATTGCTATACTTTACCCTTATTTTTATTATAAAGGGGGTTGATTTTATTGTATGTGTAGTTGTTTTAAAATAATGGTGTTGAAGTTTTTAGTTTGCTAAATAGTTTTTTTTTTAATTGACCCATTTTATCATAAGATTTATTGCTAAAATTTTGTGATTTTTAGGACGCTGCATATTGGTAGAACCTAACCTATTCTAAGTTGTAAGAGGGGTTTACATTGTTGGTTTAAGGAAGAATGAACAACGGAGCAGGAAGACGGATCAATGGTGGAGTTGAAGAGGATGATGATGAAGATGATGTGAATGGAGATCTTGATGCATGGGAGAGAACTTACACCGATGAGAGATCGTGGGAATCTCTGCAAGAGGATGAATCGGGGATGTTTCGTCCCATTGAGGCATTGACAACCAGGCACTTTATCATTCACAGTATCACCGGCGCCTTCGTTCCCTTTCATCCACTGCTGCTCGGATACAAAAGGGTCTCATTCGTTATCTTTACACTGTTATCGATCTTTCCAAGGTACCATTTTCACCCTCATTGTCACTCTAGTTTAAGATTTTGCTTGTGTTGACTAAATATGTTTTTTTTTTCGAATAAAGAGAGTCAAATTTTGTTTTAGAGTGCGTAAATTTTGCAGCAGAATAATCAAGTTTGACAAGCATTCTCATCTAAATTTTGATTTGGTTACTTCTGGGAGTTGAGTTTCACAATCATGATGAACAGATTGTAGCTTTAAGTTACCTCACCTCACTAGTCTACGAAGTTATCAATCACAAGCTTGAGTTTAATAGTCTTGGATCCCAAAACTTTTCCACCCATCTTTTTTCACCTAGAGAAAAGCCCGAGAATAATTTTTGTGGATTTTTCACTGAAGTTTCTCGTGCATGTACGACTTGCATGAGTTAAGCAATTTGCCTCTTAGATTTCCTAAGACCAATACATTCTTATGAATGTTCTTCACTTAAAACCATTCTAGTTTATGCTTTATATGTCTGTTGTTAATTTGTTATTTGGTAAGGTTTAATTAATTTGTTTTCTTGATTGTCGACAGCCCTTGAATTGAAGTTATTATATCACTTAAGGTCCCAATTTCTCTATCTTAGCCTCTTAGGGGTAAAGTAAGCGATGTTAAACACGCTTCTTGCAATTTTAGTTTTTTTTTCAAGAGGGAGGAATTGAAGATAGGCCCTGGACAAGGGTAACTACCATCAAGTTTTCCCCTGAAAATTGGTTGTTTGTTTCAGTCATCTTGAAGTTAAAAATAGTTGAAATTTATTGGTTCTTTATATGAACAGCTGATTCTTTTTTACTATATTTAGGCAGCTTCAGAGATGGATTTTCGACCAAGTCGAATTGCTGTCATTGCAAAACAAGTTGGGGCTTTCATCCGGGAATTCTTTTACTAGAATCCTCTTAGTCAAGTTGGCATTGTGACTATAAAAGATGGGGTTGCTAGCTGCTTAACAGATCTCGGTGGTAGTCCTGAGTCTCATCAACGCTTTGATGAAGAAGTTAGAATGTTCAGCTGATTCTTCCTTGCAGAATGCATTGGATCTCGTAGGTGGCTATCTGAATCACATTCCATCATATGGCCATCGTGAAGTTCTTTTACTTTATTCTGCTCTCAGTGCCTGTGATCCTGGAGATATAATGGAGACCATTCAAAAATACAGGAAATCTAAAATAAGATGTTCAGTTATTGGCCTCGCTGCAGAAATGTTTATATGCAAACATCTCTGCCAGGAAACTGGAGGAACATACTCCGTTTCACTCGATGAGGTAAGAAAAAGAGAACACATGATTGACCATATTAAACTTAACCGACTTAAACTAGACGAATTCAAATTCACTGGCTAACTTTAAAGGATCAGTAAAGTCTATTTTTAGAAGTATCCAATGGACCTTTGTCTTGGAAAAGCCAAAGTAAATTTCATTGACTAGTTATCAACCTCTGACTTTCTTTTAAATGTTATATATTGAACGTTGTTTTCGAGAATTTCTTTTTCCCCTTGCATTTGTTGTTTTTTGTTTTGTTTTGGGAACATGGGGAAATGGAGTTCTTGGTTCTTTTTATGCATTTTCAATGGACATGTAATGCGTTTCATATCCATAAATGAAGTGGGAAAATGATTTTTTTTTTCTTCTGTGTTGTTTTTGTGCAGTCCCATTTAAAGAGCTAATATTGGAGCATGCACTGCCACCACCAGCCATAGCGGAATTTGCAGTTACTAATTTGATCAAGATGGGATTCTCCACAAAGAGCAGCTGAGGGTTCTATATCAATTTGTTCATGTCATAAAGAAGCTAAGGTAGGTGCAGGTTACACTTGTCCAAGATGCAAAGCCCGTGCATGTGAGCTCCATACTGAATATCACGTCTGCGGGTTGACACTCGTGTCTTCACCCCATTTGGCTAGATCATATCATCATCTCTTTCCTATAGCACCATTTGATGAGGTGCCCTCATCTCGTTTAAATGATCCAATCCGCAAACAGCAAAGAAATTGTTTCGGGTGCCAACAAAGCTTCCATGATCCAGGTGAGTGGTGAATAAGAATGTATTAAGTGCTGCTAGTACTGTTTGAAATTGCTTGTGTGATACTATATGTTATGTTTTAAGGCTGACTGCATGAACTAGCTGAACTAAACTCGGATTATGTAGTTACGTTGTAATCTGTCATTGTTCTTTCCTCCTACATGTTTTATTTTATTCGATAGTTCTCCTGACTGATGCTTGCTGGTTTTTGTCTCAGGAAACAAAGCCGGGCTTGCCGTCGTGTGCCCGAAGTGCAAACGGTACTTCTGCCTGGACTGTGACATTTACATTCACGAGATTCTGCACAATTGCCCTGGTTGTGATAGCTTCAGGCATTCCAAAGCAGCCACTGCAAATGAAGATTAGCAATTACTTTTGCTGTGGAAATTTTCATGGTTTTGTAGCTCCCATTCCCTAGTCATGTGCTGCTACTTTTTCGTAGAACATTTACTCGGAATTTTCCAACTTTGACCGTCGGATTTTAATAGTTCATGACATCATATATTATATAGAGAACTTTGATACATGGTTTCATTTGCCGAAAATTCAGTATTTTTCTCATCTTTTAACTCCTTAGGTCCCATGAAATCAACCCTTTTTGAAACAGCTCCCTATGTTGCCAACCCTTAAAAGTACATGCAGGCTTTGTCGCTCTGATAAGCAAGAAACCATGGCTTTCACCACCACTTCTGGATCGGAATACTCCTCTTCCGACAACCAGGTTTGGGTTAGTGATGGAAGTGAACATGAAAGAGTTATTGAACAAGGAAGAAATGACCATCGCTTACAGCCAAGCATAATTGTTTCATTTCAAGCTAGTGTTTTCTTTCGGGAAATGATAATGTGCGGCAGTCTTAATATATGGTTAAACAAGTGCTACTGGTTTTGTTATTATACCGAAAACATTATTATTTCTACCGGTTTTGTTATTATTGGGCGTTTTATCGATTTTGTTATTTTTTTCTACCGATTTTGTTATTATTGGGCACTTTACCGGAAATGTTAAAAAAAATTAATGTTTTAGGTAAAAATAATAATGATTTAGATAATTTTTTATCGGTTTTGTTATTAAAATAATAAAATCGGTAGCGTCTTTTTTTAGCTGTATATTAAGGGTGTTGCATTGTAGAATTTTCTCTTTCATTCATTCAAGTACATATGTTTGGTTGTTTTAATTGCCCATCTGGTTCATCGTGGTTTTACTTTGATTAATTCGGATCAATTTATGTAATACATCTAATTTTAGTGGACAAATTTTTTAATAAGATTTTCTACATACAAAAGATTTCGAACTCGAAACCTATTTAAACGATATCAAATTATTTACCACTTAAATCAATTTCTGGTTAAGTATGTATGTTTGTTAATTAGGTATCAAGTCACCATCATTAATTGTTAACGAAATTATCAATTAATTTCTGATAGGTGTTACAAGTCTTATCGTTTCTAATCACAGTGTTTCTTTAAAATAAAAATGAATTTAAGAAGATTTGAATCTAAGATATAAATGTAGACATAATACTTGATCACTAAACTAAATTATATATATTTAAATTAAACCATATTTGACGTAAGTTTTTTATTTTCTGTAATCATATTCAATATTTTCCTCACTTTTTTTATTATAATTATATATTTTATAATTAAAAATATATATTTCAAGTACATACAACTTTAAGATTGTCGAGTAAATACACTAACACTTTGTTTTGTAACGGTATACTATTGACTTTTGATTTATTCTAATAGAAATTGTGATGATTATAAGATAATATTTATTTAAAATCTTTTTTAATCGTTAAAAAAAGCATATACATCTTACAGAAAAAAAACTCTATACGCATCAATTCATATCAAGTTGTCCATTGTAGCTTGAACAAATAGAAACACAATCCAGGCCCCCAAAAGTTTTAGCTCTGAGAAAGAAAATGGGAATGCAGGAATTCATGCAAGTAACCTCTGATCATGCCATTCTTCGCTGGCCATGTATAATATTCCGCTCATCCCAGATCGGACAGTTACATGTTGGCTTCTTGTTTTGCCACGGAGCTCCACAAGTGTAGCAAAACTCATATCCGCATCTGCAAAAGGATACATGAAATTGGTGGCATGGAAAGAAATGGTAAATTTAATTTACCATGATCTTGCTTCCATCAAGAAAATATCAAACCCTTGCTTTCTGACATTTATGAGATCAGGCATAACTAGTTTATACTATTTTGGACACAAATAGTTTCTTTTTTTTTCCTTCCTTGAATCGTGTTTATTTCGTGTTGCTAAATCTTTCCATGGAAAAGAAGAAAAGTTACATACCTGCAAGTGATATGGTAGCACCCTTCAGCAAGTTCAACCACATTCTTGCACTTTATACACTCGCGCCATCGTTTTTTATTCGCGAGAGAGTTGAACATTTCATCTTCTTTCTCAGGATAAGGGTTCTCCCTTTTGTAATCGAAGCAGGTCATATTATAGTGCCAGGGAACCTTGCAATTGAAGCAGAAAAAGTGATGGCATTTTACACATTTTCGAGCCCCTGATTGTTCAGCACCAAGAATTACAGTACTAGTATATTGTAAGACCTCGCTTTTCGACATTAGCGCAGAACACCTCGGAAATGCACAATAAACTTTCTCTGAAACAGGAACGGAAGCTTCCTTCTTGCGATTACTCATGATCTGGACTAATTTAGGATCCAAGAATTTCCCACAGCTATCAATGGTCACCTCGGAATTACAGCCTTCATGTGGGCAACTAGCCTCCGTTGCATTAAGCAATTTGACTTCTACATGCTGCTTCATGCAAGAAAAGCAATATCGGTGAAAGCAACCATCGACTGAAAACATCTGAGTAGCATTGACATCTTCAAAACATATCACACAAGTCTCCTTCAAGTCTTTTCCATAGCTACTTTCTGCAGGCCAAGTAATCTGAGAGACTATAGCATCTCTTGCTAGTGCGACCGCAGATTTCATATCGTTACGTGCCACAAGTGATGGTTGGAAATAAGTAAATCGCTTTTGTAGAAGAGCAACCTCATTGACTTTTGTCCCCATCTTGCTCTGTCCTGGTTGCACTCTGCCTGTAATCTATATTCAGAAAACCATGGCGAAAACCGTCACTATTTAGAAATTTATAAAATCCAAAATATAAGTACAATATGCATGGCATTGGATCTTAATTCCCAAAACTTCGCGAACACTACTGCTTAGCAGCAACAACCGTTTTCTTATGGAAAAGCCAGTGATGACATTGTTAAAATTTAGTCTAGCCAAAACAAACACCCAGTTACTATTACTTAGCATCCGTAAAAGGTAAATCAATATAATCATTAAAGCGAAAGGCCGGAGAAAATAATGGGAGAATCAAACAAGCCTACAAGCAACTGGTTCGAAAAGAAACTCAATTGAAGCAACGTCATTATCACAACAATAATCCCATATCAGGACCCAAACGATAAAAGCAATGCAACAAGTGATATACCACAACTATACCATATCAGTACCCAAACAGTAAAAGCAATGCATCAAGTGATATACCAAAGCTATACCATATCAGGACCCATAAGATAAAAGCAATGCAACAAGTGATACACCAATGCTATACCATATCAGAACCCATAAGATAAAAGCAATGCAACAAGTGATATACCAAAGCTATACCATATCAGGACCCATAAGTTAAAAGCAATGCAACAAGTGATATACCAAAGCTATACCATATCAGGCCCATAAGATAAAAGCAATGCAACAAGTGATATACCAAAGCTATACCATATCAGGACTCATATGATAAAAGCAATGCAACAAGTGATATGCCACAGCTGAACCATATCAGGACCCATACGATAAAAGCAATGCAACAAGTGATATGCCAAAGCTATACCATATCAGGACCCATACGATAAAAGCAATGCAACTAGTGATATACCAAAGCTATACCATATCAGGACCCATACGATAAAAAAGCAAGGCAACAAATGATATGCCAAAGCTATACCATATCAGGATCCATACCATAAAAGCAATGCAACAAGTGATATGCTAAAGCTATACCATATCAAGACCCATACCATAAAAGTAATGCAACAAGTGATATACCAAAGCTATAGCATATCAAGACCCATACGGTAAAAGCAATGCAACAAGTGATATAACAAAGCTATAGCATATCAGGACCCATACGATAAAAGCAATGCAACAAGTGATATACCAAAGCTATAGCATATCAGGACCCATACGATAAAAGCAATGCAACAAGTGATATACCAAAGCCATACCATATCAGCAGGGATGGACCACGGGGTGCAGTATTTTCTTGTATTTTCTATTGATAATCTAATTTCACACCCCCTAAATTTTTTTAATTCTGCACCCCCTACATCTCTAATATAACTTTTTAAGTTCGCATCCCTAATATAAAATCCAACGTCCGTCCTTGCATGTGAAGATCCATACGATAAAATCAATGCAACAAGTGATATACCAAAGCTACCATATCAGGACCCATACGATAAAAGCAATGTAACAAGTGATATATCAAAGCTATACCAACCAAAACAAAAGATAAATGAAGACTATAAATGGTACTATGGCCTACTTGATTCTTGCAATTAGTCATCCCAATGTCTTTGAAATCTTGTATATAAGAAACCAACAAAAGAAATCATTAACAATGCTATAAAAGAAGCATGCACATTGAAGCAATGAAACAAACACCAAAGGCATATGAAGAGAACTTGAAGAAAAGCATGATATTGTGAAACTTACATATTGATGAACCATGAAATCATCAACAAAAAGAGTGACCCTTTTCAAGTCCAAACTCAAGGCCGCATTAAGCCCATGAATCACAGCCTCGACTCCAGCCATTTCACCGCTCATGAACTCCGCGCCCTCCAATTTCTTCCTCACTTCCAAAACCAAATTGTTCCAAAAATCATAAATGGCAACTCCAACGCCCCCCACCATAACTTTCATTTCCCTCATCCTCTCTTCACTCACCAACCCTTTAACATAAACTCTAAAACCCTCGTGCCTAGCTTCATCAACATTCCCGTCGAACGGTCTCTCGTAGTAGTCCCCGTAATCTCTCCATTCTTCTTCGGGGACATTCATGATGTATCTCGCGAAGTTTTGATCATGAATCGAACGGTTCATGTCGTTCTTGAACTTCTTCATCGCTTCCTCGCTTTCTTCCATGTCTCTGCGTTCCATCTCGTACCTGGCTATGTCCTCGAGCATGAGCGTCACGTAGTCGAAATCCGTTTCGGGAGGAGGCGAAACGGTGGCGTCGAGGGAAGTGGAAGAGTCGGGAACTGAAAGAGAAGCGGTCACGGCTTCTTGCATTTGGAGTTGGAAAGCTAAGTCGAGGTCGGAGTTTAACGTTTTGGCCTCCATTAATAGTTGATGTTGGAGACTGAGGACTGATTTGAGCTCTTCTTTGCCTTCGTCGTCAGTTTGGATGCCTTCGTCGTCAGTTTGGATGCCTTCGTCGTCAGTTTGGAAGCCTTCGTCGTTAGTTTGGATGCCTTCGTCGTCAGTTTGGATGCCTTTGCCTTTGGCTTCGTATAGGTCGGGGTTATTCATTGGGTAAGTAGGTTTTCTTTAACTTGGGATAAATTTTCTCGTCAAAGTGACGGAAAATATGAGAGAAGAAGACAGTATAGTGTCACAGTAGGAGGAGAAGCACGAGGGATGAAGAATTGGGGGATAGAGAGGCAAGGGTTTGGTATTGAAAGAGGAAATTGGGAATTAAACTTATATGGCACGTGAGAAGCACGGACAGATTTAATTCCAATAGTCATGCAGCTAGCCCAAACATGAAGCCCAATTCTTGTTGAAAACACACATAATGATTTCCTAGTACTATTGTTAACAAATAAAACGACACTAATGGAATGCATATTTTGAATGAAATTCCGATTCCTTCATCTCTTTATCTTCTTCTTCATTCTACTTTCTTTTTTCTATGTTTCTCTAATCTCTTGCAACCATAACAATTGGTATCCAGAGTCAATTTTTCCTGACAATCAACGTTTGGAATGCCAAAGAAAAATCAATTCATGTCTGAAACACCTGACTTTGTTGCACTACAAAAATAGCTTGAGGATTTAACGACCTTGGTCAAACAATCCCAAGATGAAACTAAAACTCATAAATAGTGGGAGAACCAGGAAAATCGTATTACTTCGTTGGAATCCATAATGGCCACAAATCAAGGGTATGTGGAGGAACTCTTGAAGATTCTGTCTGGCAAAAACGACGATCAGAACTAGTATGCTAATGACCAGGTACAGACTCTTAATACTTCTAAAACGGATAGAAAGCAACCTGTAAAGGTCACAGTGATTAATGATAAGTCCAGGTTTATTTATAAACCTGATGAACCTGAGATTCTAAAGTCTAAACCGGATGATTTGCCTATTCATATGACTAGTTTTAAACATGATAATCAAATGGGTGAGAACAGTGATGTTAGAACCAATATAATTGGCCTAGATGAGAATAAAAGAGGTACGAGGGGTTCTTTTAACACCTCGGGAACGATGTGGCATAGACCCAAGATTGAGCTACTTTTTTTTGAAGGAGTTAATCCATGAGGGTGGATACAAAAATGTCTTAAGTAATTTTCTCTCTGTAGTATTTCTGATGATCAAAAAGTGGAGGTGGCCACGATGTATTTACTGGTAAGGTAGAAATTTGGTTTAATGGCTACATCATGTAGAAGCATCATGTGACATGGCATGAGTTTGAGGCAGACCTTTTCATAGGTTCAGTGATAGATCCTTTGCTGATATAGTAGAGGAGTTTACAAAATTAGTGTAGAAGGGGTCAATTGAGGAGTTCCAGGAGAGATTTGAAGAACTACAACCTCACATGCTCTTACAAAACCCCACTTTAGGTGAAGAATTCGTTGTCTTTCTTTATATCAGCGGGTTAAGAGAAGACATTAAACATAGAGTTAAGGCTCTAGACCCTAAGACATTTTCTGAGGCATACAGGAAAACTAAATTGTATGAGTTATCTGTCGAATTTGAAGATAAACGAGTGTGACCATCTTTTAGAAACCCACCCTACCCAAACCCACTATCTACTTCTAAATCAAATCCACCACCATTATAATAAAAGGGTCCAGGTATTCCACCACCAAAACAGAACCTCATAGACTATAAAGACATAATAACTTATGTTTTAAGTGTGGGGAGAAATTTGTTCCAGACCATCAGTGTAAGAAAAGACATTTAAACATGATGATTGAGGATGAGACTGATATACCTTCAGAAACCTTACCCAATGATTCAGATCAACGATTGTTACAAGAAGATGAGAGCATAGAAATATCTATGAATAATATTACTTGTTGTTTAGGCCATAATACATTGAGAATTCATGGAACCATTCAAGGCTGACCATTAAACATTTTGTTTGACAGTTGTAGTACCCTCAGTTTTTTAACACCACAATGGGTTGATGATGGTATTCAAGTGACTACCCCTTATCCTTTGGCCATTACAATAACTAATGGACAATAACTCTACAACTCAACGAGATGTAACAAGGTAGAAAATTTGTCCTTTGATATTAACACGATCTTCGAATGAACATTGTCCTTTGATATTAACACGATCTTTTAAAATTTGTATACCAAAAAACTGAAGTACAAGTAAGTGATATTGCTCTTCTTGAAACTTTTTAAGAAAACAAAGAATATGAGAAAAACTTTTCAGAAAGCTTTGTAGAGAAGAAAATTTGTTTTAGATGGATTGAAATGAGTCGAATGATCATTATTTATAAGTTGGCAAAGAAAGCAAAAATGATAAAAAAAACTCTCATTAATTACAATTAATCGATTATTGTTGAAAACATTTTGATATTTCGATATAAAAAATTAAGTTAAATGAATTTTAAGATTTTCCAAATAATTTTCTAAGTATATTCGATATAACTATTCGAATATCAAAACATTACTTCAAATCTTTCAAAAATCATTTTTAATCCTTACTCAAGTGTAAAATTAAGTTTTAATCTTAAAACAATTTCAAAATAATTTTACAAAGTATTTCGAACCATTTCAAAGCCAAAAATTCCAGATTGCTCAGAGGGAACCGATTCCCCCCAAGGGGTACCGATTCCCCCTGAATGGTTTGGCTCCGAGAATTCCAGTATGCTCGGAGGGAACTGATTCCCCCCCAGGGGGTACCGATTCCCCCTTGTATAACGGTCGAAATATTTGAATTTTACACTTAGGGAACCGATTCCCCATAGGGGGTACCGATTCCCCCATGCTCCAAACTGTTTTATTAATTGTTTTCACACTAAAACGGCTATATTATTTTCTCTAATCATCTTCAACGTTCAGAAGTGATTCAAGGTGTATTTAAGCAAGCTTAGAAGCCATTGATCAACAACAAGAAACATCAAGCAATTAGAATCAAGAGAGAATCAAAGAGAAAGCATCAAACCTCAAGTTTGAGCATTTTAAGCCTATTTTCATTCAATATTCATTTTGCTTTCAAGAACACTTATTGTGCTCAATTGTATTTATTCTTGAGTGTTCTTTCTTTGTTCTAGAATTGTGCAAACATATTTTCCTTGTGAGGTTTTTCTTGTAAGTTTGCAAATTTGTATTTCTCTTTGAGAAAAGAGTGTTCTCAAGAATTGGGGTATATTCTTGAGGGAGTTGTAAGGTTATCTCTTTGGCCTCAAAAGAAAGAACAATTAGTGAATTTGTTGGAAAATCCTTAGTGTGGATAGCTAAGGTAGTGGACGTAGACTTTGGTTGATAAAGTCGAACCACTCTAAATCGCTGTGCAATTTCTTTCAATTTTCTGCAAAAGTTTCCACCTAAATTTTATTGCCAATTCACCCCCTCTTGGCCGATTCAGTCAATCGATTAACTCAACAATTGGCATCAGAGCCTAACTCATTTGAAGGTTTAATCACCTCTTGAGTCGATTCGGGAAGAGTTATATCGATAATCAAAGTCATCAATGGCCTCCGCTTCAAACTTCGACTCCGGTCTCGATTCGATGCCCGTCAACAAGCATCCTTTCTTCAATGGAGCTAACTATGCCTATTGGAAGAAAAAAATGATGTACTTCATTCAAGCAAGTGACATGGGAGCATGGAATGCCGTAGAAGAATGATACATCAAACCTCTCACTCATCCAAGGTTATGGAGTGAAGGAGAGACAAGAATGTTCCAGCTCAGCTCCAAAGTCATCCATATCATTTTTTGTGCTCTTGAACCAGATGAATACGGAAGAGTTTCATCGTGTACAACCACCAAAGAAATATGTGACAAACTTCAAGTCACTAATGAAGGTACCGATAAGGTAAAGAAATCTAAAATTAGTATTCTAACGCATAGCTATGAAAATTTCAGGATGAAACCTAATGAATATATCAAAGCTATGACGGATAGATTTTCAACGATTGTCAATGGTCTCAAATCATATGGAGAGATCATTTCAAATGAAAAGCTTGTGAGGAAGTTAGTCTACTCTCTCCCAAAATCGTGGCAATCAAAGAAGATGGCAATCATCGAGTCTAAGGATTTAACGTCCTTAACTCTTGAAGAGCTAATTGGGTCACTCCTCACTCATGAAATGATGCTCGAAGATGAGGTGGAACTCGACAAGATTGACGAGACACCAAAGGAGAATGAGAAGAAGAAAAACATTGGAGTTGCTCTCAAATCCACAAAAGATGAGAGTGATTCAAATGACGATGATGAGGAAATTGCATTGTTTGCCAAACGGTTCAGAAAAATGATGAGACCTTATCGAGGAAGAAAATTCAAACGAAATGAATGCCTCAAAAATGAACCGAAAGAGAATGACCCAATCATTTGCTATGAATGCAAAAAGCCAGGGCATGTCAAATATGATTGCCCACAATTGAAGAAAAAGGGCCAATCAAAGAATAAGCACATGGCTCATGTGGCTACATGGAGCGATGAAGACAGTTCCGATGAAGAGGAACAAGAAGTAGCTAACTTGTGCTTGATGGCATTCGGGGAAGATTCTAAGGTAACCTCTAACTCATCCGATTTTTATGATTTATCCTATGATGAGTTATTAGAGGAATATAATGGGTTGGCTTCAGATTATGAGAAATTATTTTTAAAATATAAAAATGATGTTTCAAAATTGAAAAATGAAAACAAACTCATATCCAAAACCAACAACGATCTTGAAAGTAAAATCAAAGATTTACAAATCAAACTAGAAGAATTTGAAAAGAAAAATTTAGATTTGCAAAATTTACTTTCAAAGATCAATGATGATCATCAAAAGAAAATTGATGATCTTAAAACTTCTTTTGATAAAGTTGGAACAAAACATTTTGAAAAATGTGGAAATTCAAAATCAAACTTTGTTAGAAAAAGTTTTAGAAACTACAATCATAGAGGTCCCCAAAGAAACTCTAATGGAAAAATCGTTAGAAGTATGTGGGTTCCTAAAGAACTCATTACTACTAAAGATAAAAATATCCTACACAAATGGATACCTAAGGGGACTAGGATTTTGGAAACTAATGAATATGGACCCAAAAGAATTTGGGTACCAAAAATAAAAAATTAATCTATGTTTGTAGGGAAATGAGAATTGCTACAAGGCACGGGAAACAAATTCAAATTCATGGTACCTTGATAGTGGATGCTCAAGACACATGACCGGAGACAAAAGTCGGTTCATTGAGCTTAACGCCAAAA